TTGCATTTTCATGTTTTTTGCCCGGTGCCCTTGATGCAAAATACAAATCAGCCTTCATAAAATTTCTTATGTTAGTCACAGGTTAATGAGTTCTGGTCAAGCTCAAAGTTTTTCTCATCCTATGACTGCATATAAGCATGAGTTCAATTTCCTATGCTCTGTAACATAAGAAATTCACGAACACAAATCGATATAGTGGGGAAATATGTTGTGGTTTAGAACTGTTTCATTATTAAAGAGAAAATGTGTAGCAGGACGGATAGCTCAGTTGGTCTTCTGAAAGTCATGGGTTTTGAGTCATGGTCAGGCAGTTTCAGTCAGGGTTTAGAAGTGGTTTTTTCAATTGACACATGTTTGATTCATTTAACAGATTGCATTATTTGAAATGGACAAAGGCAGTATTGCATGATACTTTTAGATCTACAAAGGGCATTTGATACAGTTGAACACACTATCCTGCATATGAAGAAGTTGTTTTTCTTCTTCTTCATGAAACTTCAAGCATCTGCCATATATAATGTTATTCTTACATGGTTTAAGTCTTATCTCTGATAGTAGCTGGTTGATGTGGCTGGTACTTATTCTACTACTGCTCTGAGTACCTATGCTGTCCCCCTGATGTTCATTTTAGGTCCTCTTTTATGTCTAATATATGTCAATTACATGTCTTCAACCCTAAGCAATAAGCTTTTATTATAATGCACAGGCACGAGTATCAGACCTTGGATGAAAAAATATGGCCAGATTGATAAAAAAACCTGTGTTCATCTTAAAAGAGTCAACAACCAAAATAAAATGTAAATAATAACCCCCTTTAAAAATATACTTCAAGTTGATAGTATATTTTTAAAGGGGATCATTATTTACTTTTTTTGTTTTGGTTTTTATAAACACAGTTTTTTTTATCAATCTGGTCATCTGGTCATATTTTTTCTTCCCAGGTCCGATACTCGTGCCAGTGATTATATGCTGATGACTCAGGAATCCTTGTGTCTCATAAATTAAATCTGAAGAAATTCTTTCTTATAACATGAGTCTTATAAGATTGCTTAATTGACTATAAATTGTCTTTGCATCTTGGCAAAACAGAGTCTATTCTTTTTTGGTTTAAGTTTCAACTTAACCTGGCCCTATAGCCTCCAGGTCACATGTAATGGTACTGCTATAAAGTACCCATCTTTTGTTAAGTATTTAGGTGCAAATCTGGATCAAATTCTTTTGGCGTCGCCCTTTGATGCTTTGCATCAATGCTTTTCTTGTTGTGTTATTGTAACTTTGTTAGAGCCAAAATAAACTTTCCCACCGGAATAAACAGTATTTAAATGTTACAGAGAATTTTTTTATCTATGTAGAGATAGTGTTCCATTAAAATTATAAGTAAGAGGTTGAAATGAGCAAAGTAGAAATAGAATAGCAATCACTATAGAAGTAAACTGTGTGGAACCAGCCAACTCCCTCAACATACTACCTAAATATATCTCTACCGAGAGACAACACTACCAAAGGTTTTAACCTCACGGTCTTGACCGTGACAAGTTGGCAGAGCTATCAATAATTGTTTGGAATAAATGCGTTTAAACAGATAACAACAAAATTTTTTATTCTACAACCGTGCTTTATTTTGTTTAACAAAATGGTTGTCTTATAAGAAAACAAATGTATTAGATAGGCAAAACAAACTGAATTTGAGCTTCATTTTATTTAATTTAAAAACAGAGATAAGAACTACAGAGGTAAGTTTTTTTTCTAAAATAGCACACATGCCTTACTTAAAAGCTAACACTATAGAACAGCTGAAAATAAACACTGCCATCAACAAAAACATCAAGTATTTACGTCACAGAAGACATATATACATGCAATATGTCTACAAAACAACACATCGTTGATACGTTACTGATGAAAAACTAAGAAAATCATGAGTGATCTAACGAAGCTTTTGAAAACATAAAATAAATTAGGTTAACTAGCAATGCTAGAGTGACTGTATTATTATTGAAGTCAAGATTTTTAAAATCATTGTCAAAGCGTTATTTCGTTCAAAAGAGAGAAAAAACAAACACAGTCTCTAGCTAAAAATTTCCTAGTTAACTTTAAGAAACTGTATACATTGTATAATGTATATATTAAATAACGTCCACAAGTTCGTTTTTTTTTTCGAAGAATAACCGACTTTATATGTAATGGAAATATCATAGTCTTTCGTAATGAGCATACCCCCAACCCACAGCATGTCGAAAAAGGGAATGTTTAACTTAGAAGAACGATTAAATGTTATAATCAAAAGTTTTGTTAACAACACAATGCACTCTGTCTCGCCAGTAAATTCAAGTTGATGCCTCCAACAGTTTTTGAGATAATTATGAGTTTAACAAAATCTAAGTATGAAAAAAAAGAAGAAAAAATCAACAACAAAGGGGACTTTCTAAAATGTAGCTATGATAGCAAGAAGTATGTTTCTTTCTGCCTTGCCAAGCTATATGAACATGCAAAGTTTGATTTCGATACCTTTCTTTTAAGTTTAAAAATTTACAATGGGCATACTGACTATTATGAAAGTCAGAATTATGAATTCATGCTTTTTCACACTTTTCTTTGTCTCACCATGACCTGTATATCGATACAAGAGTTGTACCGTTTCGGAGGTATGTACAATATAAATAAACGTGACGGGACGTGACATTGTTTCCAATAAAGCGTCCACAATAAGTGGTGGGATGCGTCTGAAACAAGTGTGATATGGTAACGCTCGTATTTCAAAAATGTATGAATATTTTCATAGACAATAACGAAGAAAACCAAAGCACTAGTGTTTGGACATTTTGCATTTGCTAAACTGTACTTCTTTCCACTCGTAACGAACGCTGTTTTGCCATGAAACCTCTTAGTCTTCTAAACTGGCTCCTATGTATTGCTGATGCTCTTGCAACTGCTTTGTAGTTGAAACCATTCGACAGCACGTCTTTAATTCCTACAGGTAGCTTTACTAGAATTTAAATGAAAACATTAAAAGTATGTGTTATCTCAATTGTAATGAAATACATATATATACAAAATGAAATACAAAAAATTCCTTAATACATAACTGTATACAAAAGTTTATATACAAATAACACGTACTTTGTACTTGGTATGTGACCTAAGTTAACTATTGATACTGAACAAGTGAATAAAGTTTCAATATTATATCATAACTGGTTTATGGGACCATATTTCATTAACCATCTGACAAAACATTTTAGCTTTAAAAATGGGCATAAGTATGTCAAATTGTGCGCCACTCATACGAAACTTGGTAATTGATATAAGATGTCAACACTTAATATGTGTTCCAAGTTTCAAAGGAATCGCTAAAATAGTGTTTGAGAAACCATTTTTCATGAAAATTCTAAACCATGAATTCAAAATTTGAAATTGATAGCAATGCAATTCAGATATTTCTAACTTAGAGCGTTTACTAAACAAGTATGTGAAGTTTCAAAGTTGTATGATTTATTGTTTTTGAAATACCATGTTTCATGAAAACTTCTTAACCACAAATTTCTTTGTCAAAATAAGGCCTATAATTTGGTCTATATTCATGAATATAGATGGACGAAGAATAAACTACGGGTGAAAACCGATTGTAACTGCAGCAAACAACAATGCGAGACTGGTTTGGATTTAAAACTGGAACCCATATAAAAATAAAGCGTTTGATTCCTACGCTGTATGTCAATTTGAGATTATATATCCCTGTTCCGGAAATCAAAATAAAAAATGGATACCCAATGCAATGCAATGCAAGCAAGGTATTTTCTTTTCTAAATCAATTTAAAAGGCTTATATAAGAATAACATTCTGTGTTTGCATATGAGCCAACATATTTTGTTTTTTAAATAAGTCTCCAGGAAACTTAGGTAAATGAACTTACCTCGTCTGAATCGTTGTCATATTCTACCATATTTTCCTTTGAAATTATAATTATAATGGCAAGCACGTGGGAAATAACAAAATCCATAAGTCAAAAATCAAAAGTCATAAATCAAAAGTCATAAATCAAAGGTCATAAGAAAATAGTAAAATAAATCTATAAGTCGAAACTCAAAAGTGACCCTCCAAGGCTTCCATAGAATTTATTTCTAGCTTTTACATTAAATGATCTAAATGAGTCTTTGAAAATGTTATGATCTAAATATAGATTTTACTTTGAAATCATGATATCTCATCTACAATGTATTTTCTATAAATACACACTTAATATGTTGCGCGATGCTAATTTTAATAAACAAAAGCTTCTTAATTACGATCTTGTAAAAGATATCGTGTAGTGTCTGCACTTCTTTATTATATAACTTGTTCTAATACTGCACGTTTGTAACGTCGCTTTTCATTGGATAATCGTGACGTTTTATACATTTCATATTTTTATAAATTAAATAATATATAATATATGACTTCCCTTATGCTACATTACACTGCTTCTAATTAATTTTACACGTGGGTACGGGTGTTCCGTCTTTAGGCCCCCCTCCCCCCCACCACGAATTCTACTTTATTTTACATAAATATACATTACATATTGTTTTACCCTAATGCGTTCACAATTTATTTTTGTGTCATTAAATGTAATTCTGATAAATAAAGGTAAATGAATGATGGTATAAAAGGTAAATGATTGAAAGTATCGCTTTTAAAAACATGTGAAGGAGTTAGGTGAAAATATCCGCAATTTTAACGGTAATAAGTCGAAATTTATACCAATTAGATCGAATTAAGTGAAAGCATACACCTTAAGTACGTTTTACAACACAGTTTAATAAGATAGAATGTGTACCTAATTTGGCTTAAAGAGGCTCTTTTGATATAGTTATAAATGTAAGTGGCTGAAAAATGCCTTAATGATTTACCTTTTAAACTACAAGCTGTGAAACGTGTTATTGTTATAGAATATAGGCTATATAAATGTTTACACCAGTCATTTCAGTGGAAAAATTAATATTTATTTCCTCAACAAACAATTAAGCAGAGACAGGTTATACTTGATTGGACAAGTGCATTCTGGGATCGATCGTTTATAAATAGAAAAGATAGTTCAGCGCGAACTTACGATTAGAAAAGTTCAGTACCTTGCCGGATAAAAATATTTGTTCAGTAAATTGTTGTTTGAAGAAGGTTCGTTGTATGAAACAAATATTGCCTGTTTGAAATCTAATTTAGAATAAGAATATTGGAATTTATGTTATATGAAAGAAAAAGGAAATGAAAATAAATTGATTGAAATTTGGTTAGTAAAGATATATTTTACCATATAAAGATGTTTGGTAGAGGATGTATTTCTTTTTAATAAAGGTTGAATAAGATTCTTCTTTGCTGACTGATTATTTTATTTTTTTGTGTTAATTAACAGTACATATATACATGGAAGAAAAGCAGAAAAAGTATATGTGGTATTTCTTTTGTAAAAAATGAATGGTAGAATAAATCACAAAAAAGTAAGTAAATATGAGTTTCCATTTTCATATTGTTTGTTATGAAATTTACATTCCTTTAAATGCGCATTAAATATATTTTCAGATGCTCATAGTGACAAACCTCTAAAACCTGTCCGCACGAACTTGGTCATGAGGCCTCCACGTGGTGATTCGCCTACTTTGAAGCAGCAGGTGACACGCACAGAATCTTTACGTCAACGATGTAACGATAGAAACGCTGACGAAATTATTCGATTTGTCCGAGATATTCAATTCGAACGTGTTCCAACCTCAATGCGCCTCCAGAAGAAGGCGCCTTTACCGAGCATTGGACAAAATTGCATTAAAAGTGGCACGTGCGATTCTGGATTTCTTGATCGTGCAACAGACTCTACTGATAGTGATGAAGATATGCTAGACAATGAAATTCTATATTCAACACAGAAAAGATCTGCGCCCAAACTTGACCCGGCTTTGATAGAAATGCTCACGAGCCCACGTGGTGTTACAAAAAACTCAAATGATTTTAATATATTATCGCGCTCTCTTCCTCAAGGTCATGTTGATATGTTTAATAACAATTTGAAAGTTCCTCGCCAAAACAGCTTTATCAGACACGGAAAACTACACAGAAACGGAAATACGGGTAAACAAAGAATCCTTACGAAACAACTTCCGCCATTATCACGTGATAGTATTCCAGAACGCCCGTCTGCACCTTCGCCAAGCCGGACACCAATGTGGTCAGACAACAGTTTCATAGAAGAGGAACCAGTAGAATACCTTGACCTTTGACAGGTCATTGCTCGTTGTTTGATGCATTTGACTATAATGTACAACGATGTTTGCCATAATCAGGACAGCATTTTGCAGGTCCTGTTCAGAATATATGCCATATAAGTTATTTTCTCAGGGGAATTTACAAATATAAGCTAGAATGTGATTTTCTACACTAGTGTGACTGGTGAAAGTTGTGAACTTTTTTGTTATATTTCACACTTATGTTATTCATATATTTACATAGCATATAATTTACTTCACATGTAAACCGAACAATTTAATAAAAGCACATGTTTTTGTATATATGTGAATCTACTCTTACATCACAAAATTGTGGTGTCACTTTTTAATTTTTTAACATTTTTTTTCCTAATTTTTTTTATATTAATACGCATATGTACAATGTATCATTACCACTTCTATGATAAACTGGACTCATACAAAAACTGTTGGTATTTTGCTATTATTCAAAATGTTACTGTATTTTGTCATTTGGGTGAGTTTGTGAAATAAACTAAATATACAATGTTAATTTTGTCTATTAATTTCTTTCTTGCACAGAAAATAAATGTTAATGGTATATTAAAACATTATTTGTTATTTAATTAAATTTGGAATTGCTAACATATTTTTCTACATCAAAAGTAGTATGCCTTTTTTTCGTAAATGCGTCGAGTCGGGAATTTTGTGACAGACGTCAATGTTATGTAAATCATTATCAAAGACGTTTTTGTTTTCAAATTCGGAATAAAATACTGTTCATTGTAACTGTTGTTAATAACCTGTTCAAAGGAATTTCATCTTAAACTTTTGCAAAAAGTTAATGTATTAAAGCTATGATATTGTCATAAATGAGGGAAGGGAGTTTAAAGTACAAGACTATAGATATGATTTATTATTTCATACACATTTTTTTACCATTACATTGTGAAATTTATGATTTTGAATTATTTACACAAATAAAATAAACAATAACATCGACTTTATTATCTGGTTTACTACGAGGACAAAGATCGTTGCTATGTGTCCACAACTGTTACAGTAACATATGTAGCAAATATAGGCCATAGTTTCACTTCATGGTTGTTCCTACGCACGTGAAATATGCCCATTAACAGTTGTAATCAGACGATATCTCTATAGTTTTTTGTGTTTAATTTATTTTATTTGACACTATCATGTTCGTATGGCCTTTTTTTCCAGCACAAAGACCCCAGTTTACTTCCGTGCAATATTTTTTAAACGGGCGGATGTCGGTAGTCGGCATAACTATATGGCTGACATTTTTGGCAAAAATTAAAATCTCTTTAATCAGTACATTCATTACAAGACAATTTCTGATAATGTCTACTGAAAAACGTAAATTTTATCCAAAAATGCTTCGGATATTTCAGGGTCTTTCAAATATTTCTGTTTCTATTATATTCCTTTTACTACTTTTAATTCTAATACTGTTTGCCTGAAAAAAAAATGAGACATGTTTGTAAAGATCATGTATTGTGAAGTACATCGTATAGTGCGACCAGTTGTTAACTGTGATCATATTTTGTTAAAAAATGTTTTAACAAGAGCTTGTCAATATTTTCATAAGTTTGTTCTTCTTTTATTCCCGGGTTAATAAGCTTAATTCTGCACTGCTTTACTTGGTCTACCTATTTGAACTCTCTCTCATGAAGAATATCAATATTGTTTTAATGTTACACCACTAGTAAACAAATATTTTGATAGATTTATTCCCCGCGTTCACCACCTTTCATTAAAGAGTATATATAGAGTGACATATACATGTGTTAGCAATATTTTTATAAAATATCTTAGTTTTTAATGCATTTGTCGAGTCAAAACGGTAAGGTTAAAGCGAAATAACAATATTTGGTGATTCACGTGGTCTGTCTTTCTTCTAAATAGAAGTTTGATGTACAACCTCCTTAATCCTTGATTTAGTTTTAATGCAAAACAATAATTCACATCAACATGTGACACAACTATCGTATCAACAGAAACTATGAAAAACTATGTGATGTTAATATGAAAAAAATACTATTGAGTATCAAAACTCAATGCAGAACGTAGCTGTGTTTACGTTATCAAAGGAAAAAAATGCGTAAAAGAATATCAAAACAGAACAGTACATCAATTCTATTTTCGTTTTTCATGGTTCATCATGCCAAAAATACAATTTCATATTAACAATTTAAGTACATTTCTGTGAAAGAAGATGGTCATACATCTGGAAACGTAGGGGAAAATGTCAAAAAAATAATAACCAATAACCAATCTACAAAGAGAGCACAAATGATGCTGACGCTTTATTACATGTATACATAAATGGTAGATGTTCTTGATTCCTTTGCCGAATGTATTGATTAAAATACTCGCTACAGAAAATAAGCATTGAAAACATTCGTACAAATATGCAAACATGTTAAATCACACTGGAGTTCATTATATACAAAATTTATTGAAGCGTACGAAAATCTTGGTAAAACAAGTCAAATAGGGAAACATTTTATAAAAAAAAAACCCATAAACTATCAACTTTCTTCTCTATTTATCAAAATATGTTCATAGTGTGTCAGACTGACATAACTGATGGAAATCTGAAATATTTGAAATTCGATATGAACAAATTAATTTCAAAGTAGACGCAAGCATATCATTACCAAATTTTATATTAGCCAGTTATGTTGATAACGTAACACCTAACAATATACTATTCAATTATTCAAACTTTAGAGGCATTCCAAAGTCACTGCACTGTATAATTATAAATTACATGAAACCGTTAAAAGTGTAATAATTAATAGTAATTTTTTAGGAATTAATGATTTATTAGTGTATCATATAATCAAAAACCGAACATTTACGTTGTTACAGCAATTCCTTTGTCACAAATTTTTGGGTAATAAACTAAGTAAACCTTAGGTGAAGCCATGTAAACAAATTGTTTCTTGTGAATCCATATAACAGATACTGTTGAAATTCAACGAAACATAAAACGCATAAAAATGTTATGACTTAAGTGTTTCAGAAATGATGAAACTTCATGTATTTTCTACAGTGTGGCAATACCACGTGACATTGACGTCATTTTCGGCATCATTTCCAAGACAAATGTTGCTCGATTCGGAAAAGAAAATAGCCGTAAATATTTTATTTCTGTATCAATTTCTTTGGGATATGCACCAGTCTACGGGGAAAAATATAAGCTTTCCATAGAATATTGGATCTTCGTCAGTTTATAAGCCGTTTTATCAAACACTTTGCATAACCTTGGAAGTTGCTTGTATTAGAGCGGGCTTCAGTTGCAAGCTATTTCGATTTCTGGCGTTATCTGGTCTACGCCATGATTAAAAAGTCAAGTTTACATCAACCGGGAGTACGGAAGGCAAAACTCTACCTAAATATGTTCATATTTTTATTATGAATGACATAAATCTTACATTTTTCTTCAATTGTCAATTCTGGCACCAGTTCCAAGTCGAAAAAAAGGACTACAGTTTAAAGCAGATTTTAGAATCCGTTGCAAATGCAAAGCAACATGCCTTCCGTTCTCTTTCTATAATTATGTTAACCATGAAAAACATTTTATTTACTATACGATTTACATAAACACAAATGAATATTTAAATGAGTTTTACTCGCTGCGCTATATAAGTGATTTTAAAAGTCGTAAAATTGTTGTCTGTATTTGTAAAGAAATTGATTTGCTCTTTAATCATTGTTCTTTCACGGTAATGATTATGAAAAATCTATTTGTGTCATGTAGCAATACTAAACGTGGAATAGAAAACAGAAACCCTAAATATCGCCCAAAACGGCAAAATTGAAAATGTTTCAGGCTCTGATTGACTTAGCTAGGATCACTTCGACGATTTGTATGCAGTGAAAAGGGTTACGCCTCAACGCGGCACTTTTAGTCAAAGTCAAAGGTTATTCTTTTGTAAAGAGCTATTTATACGTATAACCATATATAATATATAAAGAACCTGTAGCAATCTTTTAGTATGATAGATTCAGCTTTTTAACACAGTGGCACTCGTTGATAAAAATATTTTTACACCCACGGTAACCGTTTTTCGTGAACTGGATATAACTTCGTGAACTTAAGAACACTATTAAACACTATCTATTTTATAATTGCTTTTATTTCTGTTGATAAACTGCATATCTGACAAATTTAGTTAATTATATCAGTCAACTCAGCTTTATCAGAGAGCTCATATAATATACATTGTAAAGAGAGGAAAGGAACGGAATATTTATGGTTTGAAAACATTTAAATCGAGTAGAACTTTTTAACAATAATGTCTCTTTCAACTGAATAAAAACGATAGGGGGATTTTGGGCTATTTCTTTCATGTGGCATTGGGTAAATGCTGGGTTTTTGCACGCGCAGACCCAAGTCCCAAAAGCTTTTTTAGAATTTTAAATTTTAAAAAAAACCACACATTTAAAAACTAAAACATGAAAACATAGCAATCTAAATAAATGAATTATCGATATTAATAAAAAAGTAAACATTTACAGTTGAAAGGGTAAAAATTGAATATACTCTTTTAAAAGTAATCGTAATTTTTCTAAGCTTTTTTAGCTACAATTATTCAATGGGCGTATCAGTGGCATATGGACCCCTCATAATCTTTCCTTTGCATTAAAGTTAAAGTAAATATTTATATAATTATTGATAATCATTGTTATTTCCGTCTTTTTGAATGTTTTGTTTCAAGAAATTTGACTGTGATCGATGGCTGTTGGTTTGTAAAATCATTTATCTGTTTACTATTTTCTACTTTGTTTACTCCACATGGCGTCCATTCTCGTTCTTATTCATGGCTATTTTGGGTCTTTTTGATAAATAGATAATCATAAGTAATGCAACTAAGTAACAATACTATCAGATTTACACGGCAAAGTTCCAAGTTCAAATTGTGATTTCGTTTATCAAACTCTATAGAAATTTATTATACAACAATTCCAGAAAAAATATATACCTTTTAAAAGTCTCTCTTATGAGGACAGAAGAACCTATTCGTCACATTCACGAGTGTCAGTGTTTGTCAGTTACTCTTTACAAAAATAAACTGAAAAAATACCTTTAGCTTTACAACACTCGCGTTAAAGTGTAACCCTTTCCATAGCATACAAAGGTGTTTTTTATTTTAACTCTTTCTCTCACTGAGAGCACATATATTTCTTATCAATTTCGCCATTGTGAAATAGAATAAAACACATTTTACTACATAGGACAAGATGAGCAATACTTTAAAACATCTTCAAAAACGAAACCAAAATATTATTTTCCGACAGGACTAAATCTACGTGATTTGAAGTGCACTATTGCGATACAAGTAAGTGTTATTGCTTTAAGAAACAATCAGTTTTTTTCACAATCTCTCTGTGAAAGATCATCAATGAAAAACTAAATTGTTGAAAGAGAACGGTAGGCATGTTGCTTCGCATTTGCAACGGATTCTAAAATCTGCTTTAAACTGTAGTCCTTTTTTTTCGACTTGGAACTGGTGCCAGAATTGACAATTGAAGAAAAATGTAAGATTTATGTCATTCATAATAAAAATATGAACATATTTAGGTAGAGTTTTGCCTTCCGTACTCCCGGTTGATGTAAACCTGACTTTTTAATCATGGCGTAGACCAGATAACGCCAGAAAACGAAATAGCTTGCAACTGAAGCCCGCTCTAATACAAGCAACTTCCAAGGTTATGCAAAGTGTTTGATAAAACGGCTTATAAACTGACGAAGATCCAATATTCTATGGAAAGCTTATATTTTTCCCCGTAGACTGGTGCATATCCCAAAGAAATTGGTACAGAAATAAAATATTTACGGCTATTTTCTTTTCCGAATCGAGCAACATTTGTCTTGGAAATGATGCCGAAAATGACGTCAATGTCACGTGGTATTGCCACACTGTTCTAAGCGAATAAAAATATCGCACGAATTACTATCAGTAACCAAAGTCAAGAACAGTAATATTTCATCAAATTCGAAACATATCCGTGTAAGTACAAACTTTTTTTCCATTCTACATACACTTATAAATGTTGTTGTTGAGTACAGATTGCTCTGGCAAATTGATTCAGGAATGAATAAATGATCACCGACACAACACCAGTGTGCGCATCTCTGGCGAATGATGAACCGGTTGCCTATCAGTTACCAGCATCGGTCTACCGCGTGACTTTTGATGTAAATAAAGGCAGAAATTAATTTAACATACATGAATATAGAAAGATAATATTTAGCAAAAAAAAATACGTTTGTATTTTTACGTAGAGTCGACCTTTACACGATGCATGTATTTTGAAATCTAACCAACCAGTGTAGGTTAGACTAAAATACCATAACCGTACTGTGTCATGTTCGAGGTCCTTTTCCGAAGTTTGACGGAAAGGGCCGAAAAGTTACCACCTACTAGTTCAGTCTATTATACACATGCTACTATAAAAATGAACTTGTTGAGAAAGTCCACAAACAGATAATAGTTGTATGTAATCATTATATTGAAACGTGATATTATTATTATACGGAAGTTACGATGTTATAATGTGTTAGAATTAG